TGTTGAGAGTTTTTATCATGAAAGGTTGTTGTATTTTTTCAAATGTTTTTTTCTGAATCTAGGGAAATGGTATGATCTTCATCTCTCCTTCTATGAATGTGCTGTATCACGTGTATGGATTTGCATATGTGGGATCTTCCTTTCATCCCAGGGATAAATCCCATTTGATCATGGCCTGTGATCATTTTAATGTAATGCTGAATTCAGTTTGCTAATATTTTGTTGAGAATCTTTGCATTTATATTCATCATGGATATTGGCCAGTAGTTTTCTTGTAGTGTTTGTCCTTAGCTGGCTTTGGGATCGGGGTAACACTGGCCTCATACAAAGAACGTGGAGTGTTCCCTTCTCTTCAGTTTTTTGGGAGAGTTTGAGAGGTATTGGCATTAATTCTTCTTTAAACAATTGGTAGAATTCACAAGTGGGCCACCTGGTCCTGGGCTTTTATTTTTGGGGATGCTTTTGACTACTGATTCGATGTCCTCACTCAGTATTGGTCTGTTCATATTTTCTGTTTCTTCCTGATTCAGTCTTGGTATGTTGAACATTTCTAGCAATTTTCTGTTTCTTCTGGATTATCCCCTTTGTTGGCGTATAATTTCTCATAGTAGTTTGTTATGATCCTTTGTATTTCTGCGGTATCAGTTCTCATGTTTCTTATTTCTGATTCTGAGTATTCCCTTTATTTTTCTTAGTCTAGATCAGGTGTTGTCAATTTTATTTTTTCAAAAAAACCAGTTCTCAATGTCATGGATCGTTTTTATTGTTTCTGGTCTCTATTTCATCTCCACTCCGACCTTTGCTATTTCCTCCCTTCTGATAAATTTGGCTTTGTTTTTTCTTCTTTGCCTCATTTCTTTGGGTGTAAAATTAGGTTGTTCATTTGAGATCTCTTTTTTTTAAAAAAATATGTGCATTCATCACTAAACTTTCCTTCTCAGAACAGCTTTTTTTTTTTAAGATTTTATTTATTTATTAGAGCACGAGCAAGGAGAGGGGTAGAGGGAGAAGGAGAGGCAGACCCCCCACTGAGCAGGGAGCCTGACGCGAGGACGTGGGGCTCCATCCCAGGACTGTGAGATCATGACCTGAGCTGAAGGCAAGACGCTCAACTGACTGAGCCACCCAGGGGCCCCCCTCTCAGAACAGCTTTTACAACATCCCATAGGATTTAGTGTATTGTGTTCAATTTTCAATTGTTTCAAGATATTTTGTTATTTCCTTTTGATTTCTTATTTGACCCATTGGTTGTTCAGGAATGTTTTGTTTGGTTTCCATATGTCTGTAAATATTTCCCCTTTCTTCCAATTACTGATTTCTAGTTCCATAACACTGTTGTTAGAAAATATAGCTGGTGAGAATTCAATCTTCTTAAATTTGCGAAGACTCGTTTTGCAGCCTGTCATATGATCTATCCTGGAGAATGTTCCATGTGCATTTGAGAAGAATGTGCATTCTGCTGCTGTAGATAGAAGGCTCTATAAATGTCTGTGAGCCCCATTTGGTCTAATGTATGGTTCAACTCCAATGTCTCGTTGTTGATTTTCTGTCTGGATGATCTATCCATTGCTGAACATGGGCTGTTAGAGTCCTCTATTACTATCGTGTTGTCTTTTCTTTTCCCCCTTCAGATTTGTTAGTATTTGCTTTGCTTAATACATTTAGGTGCTCCAGGAATGAGTGCATATATATTTATAATTGTTACATCTTCTTGATGAGTTGATCCCTTTATCATTATATAATAATATTTGTTGTGTCTTACTGTTTTTAGCTTAAAGTTTATTTTGTCTGACATAAGTAGAGCTACTCCTGTTCTCTTTGGGTTTCCACTTGCATAGAACATCTTCCTCCCTCTATTCACTTTGAGCTTATGTGTGTCCTTAAGGTTGAAGCGAGTCTCTCATGGTAGCATGAAGTTGGGTCTTTGTTTTTAATTCAGCCACTCTGTGCATATTCATTGAAGAATTCAACCCATCTACATTTAGAGTAACCACTGATAGGTAGGGACCTACTAGTGCCATCTTATCAATTGCTTTCTGGGTATTTGTGGTTCCCTTGTTTCTTTTCTTCCATTCTTCTTTCCCACCTTTGTGGATTGATGATAGTCTGTGGTGGTATTGATCCAATTCCCTTCACTTTATCTTTCGTGAATCCACCCTAGGTTTTTGCTTTGTGATTACTATGAGGATTACATAAAACACCTCATAGACATAGCAGTCCATTTTACACTGGTAGTAACTTAACTCTACCCTTTTGCTCCCTCTTTTAATGGTTTTATTGCCAGTTTACGTCTTTTTATATTGTGTATTCATTAACAAATTATAGTAGGTATTATTTTTTATTTTTATTTATTTGAAAGAGAGAAAGAGAGGGAGAGCACAGAGAGAGATAGGGAGAAGCAGACTCCTCACTGAGCAGGAAGCCTGATGTGGGGCTTGATCCCAGGACCCCGAGATCATCACCTGAGCCAAAAGCAGACGCTTAACCGACTGAGCCACCCAGGTGCCCCAGTAGGTATGGTTATTTTTAATACGTTTATCCTTTAGTCTTTATACTACAGAATTAGAGTTTTTTCATCTGACTACATATTTACCATTTCCGATGTGTTAGATATATTCTTATGTTTTCGTGTCACTGATTAGCATCCTTTCAGTTCAGCTGGAAGAACTCTTTTCAGCATTTCTTGTAAGGCAGGTCTAGTGTGATGAACTCTTGCAAGCTTTTGTTTGTCTGGGAAGGCTTTATTTTGCCTTCATTTCTGAAGGACAACCTCACTGGATATTATATTCTTGACTGGCTTTTTTTTTTCCCCCTTTCAACACTTTGAATGTGTCCCACTCTCTACTGGCCTCTAAGTAGGCCTATAAGTAGGATTTCTCTGCTGAGAAATCCACTGATCACCAGTGTGGGTTTCTTTATAGATTACTTTTTTTTTTTTCTCTTGCGCTTTCAGGATTCTGTCTTTGACTTCTGACAGTTTCATTATAATGTGTTTTGGGGGAGATTGCTTTGGCTTGAGATAATGAGGCGATCTATTCCCTTCATGGATTTGGATGTCCAGGTCTCTCCACTGGTCTGGGAAGTTCCCAGCCATCATATCTCCAGATAGACTGCCTGCCCCCCTCTTAATCCCGCTGGAACCCCAGTGACTCTGGTGGCTCTTTTGATGGCGTCCCAGAGATCACATAAGCTGTCTTAGCTTTTTTCATTCTTTTCTCTTTGTTCTCTGACTGGGCTGTTTCAAAACTCCTGTCCTATGACCCACTGATGTCTTTCTGCTTTCTGGTCTGTTCTGGTGTTAATGCTCTCTACTGCATCCGTCATTTCTTTCACTCACTTCTTCAGCTCCAGAATTTCTGTTTAGTTATTTCTCATGATTCTGTCTCTGCTAAATTTCTTTTTGTTCATGTATTCTTTTCCTGATTTCATTGAATTGTCTTTCTGTGTTTACTTGTAGCTCATTAACCTCCTCAAAGAGCTGTTTTGAATTCCTTGTAAATCACAGATCTCGATGTCTTTGGGATCGGTTACTAGAACTTAATTGGGATCTTTTGGTGATGTCATGTTTTCTTGTTTCTTTATCTTCCTTTGAGTTTTGTCTTGCTGCTTTCACATTTGATGTAGCAGTCACCCCTCCAGTCTTTACCAGCTGCCTTCAGGTGGGAGGTACTTTTGGTTGGCTCTGCTATATATTTATTCTGTGGCTTTCTCCAGCCTTGTATGGATACACCTGTTCCGTGCTTCCTGCTCCCTCTTGTGGCAGAATTTTTAAGCTTGTAGGTCTTGTCGTGATCTTACAATACACCAGAACAACTGCTGGAAACCTCCCTTTTGCTTTCCTGAAGTTGTTGCTACAGCTTAAGACTGTGGTTTTCCAACACCCTGGCCTGGTTTCTGTGGGTGCTTCCTGTCCACCCAAGCTTGCTCTCCTGCTGCCCCAAGAGTATGCATGAGCAGCTAGTCATAGGGTGGGGGTGGGAGGGGTGCGTTTGACACTCAGGCATTGGGAGTGGAGGGACCCTCAGAAGAGGTTTTCTCAGGGGCTGTGGTCAGGCTTCCTCCCGGAGTACAGAATGCAGTCAATAGGAATGGCATCCCTCTAATGCTCTCTCATATTCTTATTACCTCCTTCCTGATGATCTTCCCCCAGTCAAGAAGCCCCTTTAATACTCTGGGCCCAGCAATAGAGAAATGGGTTTCTTTAGCAGCATCCTGCACAGCTGGGGAAGTCGGGCACTCACCGCTGTACCTTTCCCCTGCAGGAGAGATACTATCTCCTATGTCTTTGAGCTGTACCACCTTGGGAGAAGGGGTGGTGCTTGCAGAGTTCCTTTTACCCACTCCAAGGTGTCCAAACTGTGTGTGTGTGTGTGTGTGTATAGATCATATAGCAAACTCATATAGATAGATGATAGAGATCTTAACGGAGTGCTGAACTTTTCTGGAAACCTGGGTTTCTACAAAGGCTCTCTTGCCCATGGGTGTCTGCCCAACTCAGCATTCTCCAGGGGCCCCCAGACCGCAGCCAAGAGGCCCAGGGGCCTGCCAGTTACAAAGATGTATTCCTAATTCCCCAGTTGTGTCTACCCTGACCTGAAATGTCTCTTATATTCCCCAGGTGTATCTACAATGACCTGGTTTGTCTCCCTATTTGCCCAAGACTGTTTACTCTGACTCGAGCTGTATCCCTTATTCCCTAGATTTGTCCACCCTGATGTGGAGTTTCTATCCAATTTCCCCAGTTATCTATACTGACCTAGGACAATCCCCTAGTTCCCCTGGTGCATATACTGTAACTGTACCCTAACACGGACACCTCCCTATTTCCACAGGATTTTCTCCTCTGTGAAGTCTGCTTGTGTCATCCATGTGTCTACGCTGACCTGGGGATTTTCTCTCATAACCCAGGTGAGACTAGCCTACCCTAAGTTGCCTTCCTACTCCCCTGACTGGGTATACACTGAACTGTGATGTTTCCCTTATTTCCAGGTGTATCCACAAGGACCTGGGATGTTTTCCTTATTACTCAGACGTGTATACCCTGATTTTGGATATCTGCCTAATTCCCCAAGAGGGTCTACACAGGCCGATGTGTATTTTCTCTAACATGGGCTGTCTCCCTGATTGCCAAGGTGTGTTGACCCTGACCTGATAGGTCTCCTAGTTCCCCAGGTGTGTTTACTATGACACTGGGTTTCTCCCAATTTTCCGTGTGTGTCTACTCTGACCTGAGATCTAACTAATTACCAACTTTTGAACTGGCTTGAGATGACTTCCTAATTACCCAGGTTTTGTCTACTTGAACAGGGGTAGATGTTAGGGAGCTAATATCTCAAGTAATCTAAATGGACCTGGGATGTGTCCCTAATTATCCATTTGAGTTTATACTGACCTGGGATGATTCCTTTTTTCCCCAGGTGCATATACTCTGATTTGGGATGTCTCCCTGGTGTTCCATGTGTGTTTATGGTGACCAAGCATGTCTAATAATCTGAGTGTCTACTCTGGCTGCAGTGTCTCACTAATTACCCAGGTGTGTCTAGGTTTTCTCCATAACTCCCCGGGTTTCCTCCATAATTCCCAGGTAACATCCTCTGATCTAGGATGTCTCACTAATTCCACAGATTTGCCTACAGTGACCTGGGATGTCTGAATAGTCTCAGCTGTGTCTACGAGGATGTTGAAAGTCTTTCATTTCCCCAGGTGTCTCCACTCCAAACTAGGCTATCATCTTAATTCAAAAGGTATGGCTCCTCTGACCCGGGATGACTTCAAATTCTCCAGTTGTTTCTACCCTGATACAGGATGTCTCCCTAGATTCCCAGTTGTTTAACTGACCTGGAATGTCTCACTAATTAACCCAGGTTTTCTACCTTGATGTTAGATGTCTGCCTAATTTCCCATGTTTGTCTATACTGGTCAGGGACTTCTAATATCCCAGGCGTGTCTGTTCTGATCTGAGTTGTACCCTTGATATGTCAACTCTGATATATGCAATTTCTAATTGACCAGAATGTGTCTAATCATACCTGGAATATACCTTACTTACCTAGGTCTGTCTACCTTGGCCAGTGTTATTTTCTTACTTCCCAGTTGTGTCTATATTGACCTGGGATGTCTCCCTAATTACTCAGAAGTGTCTACTCTGACCACGGGTGTCTCCCTAGTTCTACAAGTTGTCTGCTCTGACCTGGGATGTCTCCTTAAAGGTTCAGTTGTGTCTACTCTAGCATTGAATAATCTTATATTCCCCAGTTGTATCTAATCTGACCTAGGATATCTTCTTTATTCCCTAAGTGTGTCTTCCTTGGGGGGGCTGTCTCCCTAAGTGCTCAGGTGTGTCTGTCCTTAACTGGGATTCCCTCCTAAATGCCCAGATATGTCTACCCTGCCCTGTGATGTCTAATTTCCCTGGTCTACTCCAACCTGAGACGTTTGTGTAGTTCTCCAGGTGTGTCCACATGGACATTAGATGTCTTCATAATTCCCAGCTATCTAAACCTAATTCCCTTGGTGTCCTGCCCTGACCTTGGAAATCTCCCTTATCAACAGGTTTGTCTTACTCTGACCTGGGAGGGCTCCATTGTTCTTCAGGTTCATGTACTATAATTTAAGATGTCTCCCTAATTCCACAAGATTTTCTCCTCTGCAGTATTTTATTTTACCAGATGTACCTATCCTGACCAGGTAGGTCTTCCTAATCAACTAGGCATGTCTTTATTGACCTGGGATGTCTCTCCAGTTCCCCATATGTATAGTCTACCCTGATTTTGGATGTCTCCCTAATTCCTTGGGTATGTGTTTCCTGATCTGGAATGTTACCCTAATAACTCAGACTTATTAATACTGCTAAAAGAAAAATTTCCCCAATTTACAGATCTACTCGCTTTTATTTAATGATGTCATGAATCAGGCAGCATCTAATCTAGCAGATAAAAAGGAGCACTGAAGATGTACAATGCAAGAGATTTTACAGACCAAGTGAGCAGGAATGGGAAGTTACACTGGGCATTTGCTGACTGGTTAAGCATGATTACTCTTCTTATATGGGGGCACAGGGAAGTCTTGGAACAGGTCAGGTAACTTGTGCTGAGCAGGGACGTGCTGATTGGTTAAACCAGACCTTCCTTTCTGGGAGAGCAGAGCACAGACAGTTAAGTTTTGGTTCGCTAAAGTGGGGCTTAATATTAGAGACTGTTTTGAGCCTAATCCAACTACTTTAACCAACTCTCCCTTTTGATCAGATTCAGCTCTTACCGAGAGGTAAGACCAAATGTAAGACTAAAGCACTACGCTGTGTCACTGCTCTTGTGGTCTCTGCTGGTGTCCGTAGTGTTTGCAGGGCATGAGTTAGGCTTGAATTCTTGTACATGGCCATTTTCGTCCTTTTTCTTTCGGTGCTCTAGTCTCTGAGATAATCTGTCTGCTGACCAGTGGTCGTGAACATGTATTAAAGATTTTTGAGAGAATGCAGTGCACCAGGAAGACTGAGGATGACTGTAGAAAGAAGAGCAGTCAAACTTTAGAGTGTACTCTGAAGCCAAGGTCCCCATGTCTCAAACCAGCTGAAGGCAGCGATAGAATGACCCAGGGTTAGATTTAACCTGCTTAAGCCATGTGCTTTATTTCATGCAATTGTGTGTTGACCTCTCCTGAAGTATTTATCCAAGTACACGAGGTATTGGCTGCAGCACAAATACCTTCATGCTCAGCAAGGAGACAGTCAAGAGCTATCCTGTTGTCTAAGACAGACAGCTTTGGCAAGTGAACGCAGAGGTGTCTGCTGGGCAGCTACAGCTGTGGCAGTGAATACTGCTATTTCCCCTAGTGTAAGCAGAAGATTTCTAATCACGTGCTTTGTTGGCACTGACTTCCAACCAACGTAATAAGGATCTGCCAAAGGAGGCAAAACCTGAGTAATCTATACCTCCTGGTCAGCCCTGTTTGAGGCTGTAGTGTGGGATGAGACGTACAGCACAGTGGGAAGCCTCAGTTTGGTTGTGGCCCAGACCACAGCTTTTACCCTCTTCCATCTAGACGTTAAGCTGCCCATGCATAAGGGGACACTAGCCCTCCACAGATAAATATCTACCCTGGAGGAGCATGGACCATGCTGCCAAAACAGGCGTTCCCGTGCTGGAAGCCGTCAGAATGGCTCTGAACTGGAAAGGTGGTGGCCCTGGAGGTCAAGAAGACTTAAGGGGCTGGAGACCTCACAGGTGGTTCTGTCTTGCTTACGCTTGCCTTGTCTCCCTTTCTTTGTGTAGAACCTGGATGTAAGGTTCCCCGGGTTCGTTAACCAGAGACAGGGAAGTGGGCCCCCAGGGACTAGGGAGGCTGGCACAACAGAGGACGGGGAGAGGCCGTTTCTCTGGAAAAGCAGGGATAAGCCTGTGATGCCCTGAGAGATGTGGACAATGGCATTATCTTTCTAGAACAGAGCAAGACAAAGGTGGACCAAAGAATTGCAAAGACCTTCACATAGTGTAAAAATTAAGAATTGGGAAAAAGAGATGAGGAGTGGAAAGAAACTTTATTTTTCCAGCTTTAACGAGGAATCACTGATGTATATTGCTACATGGGTTTAAGGTGTAGGGCATGCCTTTAAATGATCACCATACTAGATTTAGTTAACATCCACCATCTCATCTAGACACCGTAAGAAGAAAAATTCCTCCTTGAGATGAGAGCTCCTAGGACCTGTTCTCGCAACAGTTCTACCCTGTTTATCACGTGGCAGTGTCGGCTGTACGGTCGTGCTGTACACACATGCCTAGTGCTTATCTTACAACTGCAAGTTTGTCCTTTGCGACCGCCTTCATCCACTGCTCCCTCTCCCCACCTGCCGTAATCACAAATCTGACCTCTTTTTCTGAGTTTGGTGTGTTTTTTTAATTAATCCCACATCTAAATGAGAGCATAGAGTATTTGTCTTTCTCTGACTTATTTAGCACAATGCCTTCAAGATCCATCCATCGCCAAAGTCCTTTTTGATGGCTAATATTCCATTGTAAATGTAAACCACAACTTCTACATCCATTCATCCACCGATGGACGCGGGTTGGCTCCATGTCTTGACTATTGTAAATAATGCTGCTATAAACATGGGGGTGCAGATAGCTTTTTGAGTATTTTCATTTCCTTTGGATATATTCTCAGAAATGGGACTACTGGATCATATGGTAGTTCTATTTTTAATTTTTTTAGTAACTGTATCCCGTAGTAGCTGTGCCATTTTATGATCCCACCAACAGTACACAAGGTTCCCTCCCCTCTTCTCTACATCCATGCCACCATTTGTTACCTCTTGTTATTTTGGTGATGGCCATTCTAAAAGGTATGAGGTGATATCTCCTTATGGTTCTAATTTGACTAGTGATGTTGAACATTTTTTTTAAAGATTTTATTTATTTATTCATGAAAGACAGAGAGAGAGGCAGAGGGAGAAGCAGGCTCCCAAGGAGCAGGGAGCCCGAGGCGGGACTCGATCCCAGGACCCTGGGATCATGACCTGAGCCGAAGGCAGACGCTTCACCATCTGAGCCACCCAGGCGCCCAGCCACTAAAGATTTTATTTATTTGAGAGCGAGAGAGAGCACGAGAGGGGGAGGGCCAGAGGGAGAAGCAGACTCCCCGCTGAGCGGGGGAGCCCGAGGCGGGACTCGATCCCCGGACTCCAGGATCATGACCTGGATGTTGAACATTTTTCATGTAACTACTGGCCATTTGTATATCTTCTTTGGAAAAATGTCTGTTCTTTTGCCCATTTTTTAAATTGGATTGTTTGCTACTGAGTTGTACTCTTTATATATTTTGTATATTAACCCATCAGATGTATGGTTTGCAAATATTTGTTCCCATTCTGTAGGTTTCTTTCCACTTTGTTGATGGTTTTTTTTTTTTTTTGCTGTGCAGAAGCTTTTTAGGTTGATGTAGTCCCAGTATATTTTTGTTGTTGTTGCTGATGCTTCAGGTGTGACTTCCATAGAATCATCACCAAGACCATGTCAAGGAGCTTTTTTCCTATTTTTTGTTTTCTAGGACTTTCATGACTTAAGGTCTTACATTTAAGACTTTAATCCACTTCAAGTTAATTTTTGTGAGTGCAGTAAGATAGGGGTCAATTTTCATTCTTTTACCTGTGAACATCCAATAGAAAGAAACCTTCTTGATTCAACATCTCTGGAGGAAACAGTCTACCTCATGATGTTTGCAGCTTCTCTTCCTGGTCACTTTGGTTTTGAGGTCTCCAGAGTTATCACAGGACCAGATGTCAGTTGTGAAATATGCACCCAAGGTTTAGGTTATCCTAGATCATGTGAATTTGAAAAACATTTGGGCTAGTTCCTATCTTTCTGAGAGTATACTTGTTATATAAGTGCTTATTTTTCTTTAAGCCAGTTAGAGCTCTTTATGAATTAATATTGGCAATACCATCTAGAAATAGAAAAATTTCATACATCAATTACATGCATGTATACAGGAATACATGAACATTCAGACATATGTAAAAATACATCCTTAAACTTGGTTTTAGAATTTTAGCCATGAGACAAGTTCAATAATGAAAAACCCACTAGTTTATAAAAGAACCATTGAATAAAACTGTGTTTCTGACACACAGAACAAATTAGGATTACCTCCTCAGATGATTTAAGCTTTTCACTAGTAATTATGGAGAAGATTTTAAGATTTTTCCTAGTTTCCAACTAGCCTTTCTTTTCTGTCTTTCTGATAAGAATTA